ACATTGAACCCCATTTGCCATGTTGCCATTTGCCATGTTTACCTTGTTTGTTGTCCAAACCCAGGGCTTTCTTTGTAGCAGGGACTCCTTTGCATGTTAGGCCACACACCCCTGATGTAGCCAATCCTAATGAGTTTCTGCTGTTGGGTGTGGCCTATTATGCTAACGAGTTCCTGCTAGGCGTGGACAACTCGGGAGCCAGACGGAACTCTGTTCCTGTGCGTTCCTGCCCAAAAATAGCCCTGTGCTTACTTATTATACCCAAGCGCGCAGATATGGTCTGGGAGACCTCTGCTTCCCCAGCGTGGTGCCTGTGCATGTCGTGGCCCGCTAAGTGTTTTTAGGGAGTGGGCGGGGCCAGGTAGGGCCTTTGCCCAGCCAGGCTTCTGATTGGCCAGTAGAGAACGGTGCAGATTCTTTAAAATGGTGCTTCGGCAGCAGCTGCCACCACAAGACCAGGATCTGCATCACATTACTGTAGTTAAGCTGTGGCAATCATTCTGTGGCTGGCTCCTCCTCCTTTAGCAGCCATCTTGTGGCAGCCATTTTGTTGTTGTGCCCACCCTGTCGTGTCAGAGTGCCAAATGTGCCCACAGGCTCAAAGAGGTCGGGGAGCCTTGCTCTACTCTGTGCCAACGTTTGCTGTGTGACCTTGGTTTAGCATAGCTGACGATACCTAAATTAAGACTGTCAAGCGCACTTCCATGCTGTAATGTGCTCCCTACAGCACAGATGAAGGGGGTGGGGGTCTTGCTGGATTCCTCCAGAACAAGGTTTCTGTGATTGGCTCCTTCTCAATGGTTGATTCATGATTGCACATTTTCTTTTATTGTTCCAAACATACTGTTACCAGGGAGAAATTTCTAGTGAAATGGTTGTTAAAATATTCAGCCACTTACTAGTACCTACATCAGGGGTGTCAAACATGCGGCCCAGGGACCGGATCAGGCCCCTGGAGGGCTTCTATTAGGCCCGCAGTGGAACTGGCCGTCTTCTTCTTCTTCTTCCAGTTCTGCTGTGTCATCGTAGGTTTGCAGTTTACAGATACACACCTAAACAGCATACTCAGGATTGCAACAGCACAGACATTTCGATGCAATAATTCAGAGCAAAAGGTGTCAGTTATCAGGCACTGTTAAATAAACAAAATATTGCAAGAGTGCTGATGTTTTAAGCATGTTTTTATTTTAAGTAAAAAAATCCCCATTTGTGTCCTTTACAAAGTTTATATCTCCGCTACCTGGCATTACCTTTTATGACATGCATGGCCCAGGGGCCCAACAAGGTCTCATTTATGTCAGATCCAGCCCTCTAACAAATGAGTTTGACACCCCTGATCTACATTCTATTTTAGTTAGGATGAGGGACTGCTCTGATGCACTTAAAGTTTGTAGACTCTTGAATGATTTCTCCTCTAATGTCACTGAGAAGGTGGCTAAGTTTCTTTACTCTGCTATACAGGTATGCCAAGGGATCTCACAGAAACAATCTTATATTTATACAGGTGCATATGTATGTTGTGGTTTTAACCTACTTTTCATACTGTACTAACTTGTATCCGTATGTTCTGTGCCCATAAACGCTACTTCACTTAACATATATTCAGCCACTTCTGATACCCATAAGTTAAGATTGTTTCTGTTTGGCTTTTGAAAAGCATGTGCAGTTGACGTGGTGAAATTATTCTTTGCTGTTGTTTTTAATTCTTAAATATATCCTTGGGGTACGGTTTATGGGCTGGTAAACCAGAGTAAAGTGGAAAAGGGGTTCAGCATAGCCTTCCTGTCTAACCTACCCGGCAGGGGGGTCGTGAACAGGGGTAATTTCCTGCAGGAGCGCACAGGAGCGGAGCTCCGGCAGTAAAGAGCCCAGGGAGCGGGCACATGCAACAAGCCCCGCCCCCTGCTCCCAGCAGCCCCAGGCCACGAGGAGCAAGAAGCAGCCAGGTAAGCTGCAGAGCCCCCCCCCGGTCCAAAACAGTCCAGTGGCACCTTTAAGACCAAGGTTTATTCAAGTACAAGCTCTCCCTCCTTTATGAGAACAGATCTGCATGTCCCCCCCCCCCCATAACAACCCACAACAAAAACACCCCCGGGGCCC